TGGTGAGCAGTGTGACACACTGAGCTTGGTTCTAGGCTACAGCTCTCCTTTCAATACTGTGGTCCCCAGCAGAATTGGCCACTGCCACAGAGAGGCAGAAGAGGAAGGCTTGTGGGGTCATCTCAGTCCAGATGTTGGAAAACGCTGCTTGTGAATAACCTGGTTGCTGTTAGCCTTTTATAATCTCCTAGGATGAAACCCTAATGCATGGTTAATGTAAGCACTGGGCATGGATAGCGTCATGGTGTTTGGTTTGAAAACAGATCCAAGTTTAAGGATGATGTCATGTTTTGTAATGACGTTTATTGTGGCTTCAGGTAGTTCACCTGTCACTAGCGATCAGTACATATATACACTAATGAAAAGCACTAAAGTGCAAACCCTCGGCGAACTGCGCATGTGCGGTACCACTAATTGATGGGCTGGGCTTTTTATGCCTTTATTCGTGGTATCCCGCTAGTAACTCGCGGAGAGTCTGACACGGGCTAGCTACAGTAGTAAATAGCATGCAGGAGTCGATACATGCCCTTCGTTGTGACTTGTTGTGCCTTCAAGACACACAGAGCGAACGGACGCGGTCGGGGTAAGCCTGTGCTAATTTACATATTGGCTTGTTCACTTGGTTTTCACTGCATAACTTTAAAACACAGTAGTTTTACGAAAATCGCCTTTTTAAAATCAATCCAGTGTAGCACTGAACCCGATCATGATTTCGTGCGCGCGGTGGCAGAAAACGTGGTAACAGACAGACAGACAGACACACTTACAGGACAACTACCGTAACCCTCGCTGCGCATGCGCGCCGAGGGTTAATAATGGGGACTGCCTTGAGATTCTATTTCAGTCTGCCAGTTAAAACAAAAATGAGGGGAAGGGAAACCTCACCGTTCAAAGAAAGTATGACAACCCCATTACACACAGTATACTTTTTTGTACTTTTACTATGACTACGCATTTTCTCTCTTGACCCACATATCTCTCGAAGGGCAGCATAGGCATTGCACTGCATCCATTGACGTCTGACAGGAGAAATGTAGGGCTGGCTCAATTATATCTGCACGAGTCATCCTAGCCTATTTACAACTTGAACCTTAGAACCACGAACATTGGAAAGAGGTATATAGAGCCTCGTTGAAGAGCGCAGCGAATCCAAGCAAAGGGACGAGAGTTTTTTCGCTGGGTAGATTTCGCATTCATATGACAGCAAGGCAGCATATGAAAATAGGCGCGTTTCCCATACTGCAAGCGACGCTGACACAGACGAGCCTCTCTCTGCTCAGGAATCTCACGGGGCACGACGTTCTCTTTCCATCTCTCTTCGACGACGAAGGGTCATCTTCTCTGGACTGATCGCGAGAATACCAAGCTACACACAAGCGTATACGCGCGTATATACATGTATAGGCACGACATTCGACAGGCAGGCAGCATGTGAAATTTACAAATCCTTTCGGATAAAAAGAAGCGCGTAATCCTGGAGCATGCGCAGTTGGACGACGTACGGTCGTAGATACCCGACGTTCGTACCACTAGGTTAGCTCGCTCCCGCTCTCCAATTATACTGGTATACGTTTACTCCCGCTAGTAGCTCGCGGAGAGTCTGACACGGGCTAGCTACAATAGTAGATAGCATGCGGGAGGCCCTTCGTTGTGCCTTCTTGTGCCTCCGAGGTACACAGATAAAGCGGATCAGATCGAGGTAAGCTAGTGCTAATTAACGTATTGGCTTGTTCATTTGGTTTTCACGCCATAACTTCTGAAAGCGGGACTTTTACGAAAATCGCCATTTTTTTAATCAAGCCAGTGTAGCGCTGAACCCGTTGGTGTCTCTATTTTACCTGTTTGTTGCGCGTGGTGGCAGAAAACGTGGTAACAGACGGACTGACGGACAGACGGACAGACAGACGGACAAACCAAGTACTGTAACCCTCGCTGCGCATGCGCGCCGAGGGTTAAATATCCACGCCATTCGTACCACTAGGTTAGCTCGCTCCCGCTCGCCAATAATAATAACGAATGCAGGGCATTTTTGGCGAGCGGGAGCGAGCACACAATGACTCTATCTGCACGAGCCATCCTACAACTTGAACCTTACAATCACCAAGATTGGAAGGAGGTATAGACCGCCTCGGTCAGGTATCGAAGAGCGCAGCGAATGCGAGCAAATAGCCGAGAGCTCATTCGCTGGCTATATTTCGCATCGATATGACAGCTAGGGCAGCGTGTAAAAATCTGCGCGTTCCCTATCACGAAAGCGACGCTGATACAAACGAGCCTCTCTGAGTCTCACGGGCACGATGTTCTCTTTCCCACTGTCGACGACGAAGGGCATCTTCCCCGCACTATAATATGCACATGTATATGCACGACATCTCACAGGCAGGCAGCATATGTAATTTTGAAATCCTTTCGGATAAAAAGAAGCGCGTAATCCTGGAGCATTCGCAGTTGGACGACGTTATCCTCGCCGTTCGTACCACTAGGTTAGCTCGCTCCCACTCGCCAATAACTAGTAGGCGAATGTATGGCATTTTTGGCGAGCGGAAGCGAGCACACAATGAATGACTGTCTCGACGGAAATTCGCTTTGTCTGATAGCTTCGGATCTGATGGAGCCAGGCCTGTTGCGTTTCCTCTGATTCCGCAGCACGTGTATATAGCTCTTGCTCGTACAAGACTTGTCGCTAGTCGTGCTTCCCTTTCTTCCGCTGTTTCCGTGGCCAGGCGTTGCCTTGGCCCGTTCCCTATCATGCAGTCGGCATCGAGAAAGACGAGCCTCTCTTTGCTAAGAAGTCTCACTGGCACGACGTTCTCTTTCCCTTTCTCGTCGACGACGAAGGGCATCTTCTCTAAACCGATCCATCCAGAATGTGTGGTTGGCTTCGAACACACGAGAAATAATATACGGTGTAAAAATTTGAAATGTTTTTCGGATAAAACGAAGCGCGTGGACGACGTACGGTCGTAGATAAAATATATTGGCGAGCGGAAGCGAGCCGTTCGTTCGAGCGGAATTTTCTGTTTATATACTAGTGGAAATGTTGAACATTGTTGGCGAGCGGGAGCGACCCAACTTGGGATTTGACCGCCATGTTCGGGCTGCATAACATGCTCTCAGCGCAGCTTTCTTTTCGTGAAGCAAGACAGATCTACCTGCCGCCGTTACATGCGTACTGTATATTGCCAGAACGGTGAGCAGGTGAGCAGAACGGTACTTACCTTACGCCTTCAGCTCGTCAGTCGTGGTCCACCAGGCAACTGGCATGCAGAAGTATGTGCACGAGCAATCCTAGCGTATTCGCAAGTTGCACCTTGGAACCATGAAGATTGGGAAGAGGTACAGCCTCGGTCAGTCACCGAAGATTGCAGCGCATGCCGTCGAATGGAGGAGAGTTCTCTCGCCGGCTAGATCGATAGGCAAAGGCAAAGTGGGTGAAAATGTGTAAAAATCTGGAAATAATTTCGGATAAAAAGAACCGCGTAGAAAGCCGCGCATGCGCACTTACAGGACGTACGAACGCAGAAAATTCCGCTCGAACGAACGACTAGGTATATATATATATATGCAGTTGCAAGGTTGACCACGACTGACGAGCTGAAAGCGTAAGGTAAGTACCGTTCTGCTCACCTGCTCACCGTTCTGGCAATATAAACTACGCATGTAACGGCGACAGGTAGATCTGTCTTGCTCCACGAAAAGAAAGCGGTGCGCTGACGGCACGTTATGCAGCCCGAACATCGCGGTCAAATCCCAACTTGTTCGGGCTGCATAACGTGCTGTCTTTCCTTTCGTGAAGCAAGACAGATCTACCTGCATGCGTATTGTACGCGACCCAACTTTGGATTTGGACGATTCACCAAGTCTTTCCTTGGACGATCTGCAATTCTCGATCTTCAACTCATCAAGCGAATCGCAGCCGTCAACCACTCGCCGCGATGTTCGAGCGGAATTTTCTGTTTATATTGCGTTAGTACGTCGTGTAAGTGCGCATGCGCGGCTTTCTGCGCGCTTCTTTTTATCCGAAATTATTTCCAGAATGGTTGCGTCTCAGATATAGGTCTGAGTTTTTCAAAGCTGATATAATCAGCGGAGAGACAAGCTTTTCCCATGTGTGACCACTCCCAAGTCATGCGCACAGAGAGAGTAGTCTGCGGAGGCACTCCTTCTTAGGTCTAGCATGCCAACATCGTTTAGCCACCGCGCGCTGAGGTTGAACGACTACACGCACATACCTACCTACCATCCAGCGCTTTGCTTGATAATCAAGCAAAAATACTTCCTATCCCACCAGAAAACCGTTTTGTGCTAACTTGTGATGCATTATGCCCATACATTGTGAATGGACATGCACCATAATTAACCCTCGGCGCGCATGCGCAGCGAGGGTTACGGTAGTTGTCCCGTAAGTGTGTCAGTCAGTCTGTCAGTCTGTCTGTCTGTTACCACGTTTTCTGCCACCGCGCGCACTAAATCAGGTAAATAACGATATGATCGGGTTCAGTGCTACACTGGGTTGATTTTAAAAAAGGCGATTTTCGTAAAACGACTGTGTTTTAAAGTTATGGCGTGAAAACCAAGTGAACAAGCCAATATGGTAATTAGCACAGGCTTACCTCGACTGCGTCCGCGCGCTCTGTGTATCTTGAAGGCACAAGAAGTCACAACGAAGGGCATGTATCGACTCCCGCATGCAATCTACTACTGTAGCTAGCCCGTGCCTCTCCGTGAGCTACTAGCGCGATACAACGAGTAAAGAAAAGAAAAGCCCAGCCCATCAATTAGTCGTACCACGCATGCGCAGTACGCCGAGGGTTTGCACTTTAGTGCTTTTCATTATTCAAGCAAAAATACTCAAAATCGAGCAAATTCGACACATTTCTCAAGCAAAGGTTTATCTGCAGGTTGGTAGGTATGTACACAGTGCGCAAAGTAGACCAGCTACGCTCTATGAGGATATGTCGGCTCGATCCAGAGTCCGCGGGCCAGAGAAACTACTGCGCATGCGTAAATTAATGGAAGCACGCGCACCACCAATCGCTTCACACCTTGGCTGAGCAGTGCACTTCCTGGGATCTTCTGTAAAGCTACAACGAGAGAGAAAAGACGATGGCTGACCCGTATGCACCACCGGTATGTAAACAGCCGTACCGGTAGCTAGCCCGATTACATCCTCTCTCTCTCTCTCTCTCTCTCTCCCAGCCTTACCCTCCAGCGCAGAATCCTGGATACCCGCCTGTCCAGGATCAGGGCTATTCTGGCTACCCTCCCCAGTCTGCTGCGCCCTACCCTCCAGCTCAACAGGTAGATATCACTGTATAATTTCTCATAATGTACCTTACCGAATAGAAGTTACCAAAACTCTGTCCAAAGACAACGCAGATTGCGAAAATAAGAGATGTAATGATCTTGAACTCGTACCCTGCTGTATGTATGTACTAGCACTATTATATACAACTTGCTGATGCCTAACTACCGAAGTTTTCCGACGTGTGCAGCTAAGTATGTATGTCTACCTCACAAAATGGGAGGTTACAGAATGCGGTGATGTGAAGGCTCGAAACCCCCCCCCCCACATTGAAACACATAATTATAGTATAGGAGACGGTGATGATCGTGAACATTGTACACTACCATGAAGTGTGCCCTGGCTGGGCCAGCCTGTTGTAGGATGTAGGTGCTAATTGTACTGTATTTTGTCGCTATTTCTCTGTATGCACAAGTGATCAAACACACACTATGTGCTGATGACCAATTTGGCAACAGAAGTCTTGGGCATTAGCGGTTCCTTAGGAAAGCCCTCAGCCAGTGTCTGGCATTCCCTGTTGAGAAAGCAAGACTCTCACCCCCAGTTTTTCTCACGCTCAGTCCCTCTTCACATTGTGTGTGTGGCACTGGAACACAATATCCTCCCCCCAGCGCCACATTCCCTTGAGGTATACTTGCAGTAAATTTCCGCTCTCTTCTGATCCTACATTATTCCTAAGTGTATAATATACATACACATACATATGAGCACGTGGTATAACATTCTTGTCTTAGCCAGTTCCTGTTACACATCTGGCACATGCTAAGGTCACTACAGAGTTTTACAGCCAAACAATGCAAGGTGTGGCCATCAATGGTATACATGGGTTGATGTGAGAGTGACTGACACCAATCATTGCACTATTTAGAGCTGGGAGGTTATAGTGCAATTGTTATTCATGTGTCTTGACACATAAAGTGGACGTGTCTCACAACTAAAGACAGTCTTTACAGCATATACTCTGCCTCATTCCATGAAAATTCAAACTCAGTTGGACTACTACATAATTATGTGGTCTGTGTCAGTAATCTTCTCTGTGCAGTGTATGTATTGGGACATCTGATGCAATCCCATTGGATAGACATCTTGACCAGTACATTTGGAGTGGCAGATGTCCTTTTTTCATGTGGTGCATCATAAGTCCTCTCATAACTCGTCATTGACCAAGCGTCACCTACCTATGGTACAAATCTGCAACTGGTGAATGTGTGTGGCCTATTGCCAAGCAAACATGTGCCCTGAGCCTGCACCTGAGCCTGCATGTTGTGATATATCCTGTTCCAATGACTGGTCTTACAACCTGTAGTGAACTGTATATAGTAATACTGTAATGAGACCCAGCTTGTGCTAAAACTAAGTCACTACGACGAATACAGTGGATTTTTTTGGTGACCTATGCAAACATGAGTGCAACATAAAGTTTTTTTAGTACGCACTCGCGCGTGAAAACGTGTCTACTAAATCTCGTAGTAACTCACGTCGTGTTTACTGAGTGCCCGCAGCGCCGTTTCCTCACACAACCTGCACACGTGGAAATACAAGTGGGCGTCATTTCGAGTATGCACTAATAAGTTTGGCATCTCGTAAGTTGAAATCTACGAATGTTGGAAGCCCTCAGGCCCTCCCTCACGTAGCGTCCTCGCTACGTTTGGAACGCTACAACGCAAGGGCCCTAGGGGTTTTAACGTGCACATATTTCTCGGACTAACTTTCTAACTATTATTTAGTGCATATATGTGCAGTTTGTGTCACATACGAACATAAGTATCCGACAATCCAGACTTCTTTCTCATTACCATGATCCTTCCAGGACTTGGCATACCCATGTCTTGTAGTAAGGGTTACACTCTGCCCTTGTGTGGGTGGATGTTGCCTTCCTCTCGTCCTATTGACCTACATCCTCTGCCCCTTGATGTTTGATTGAGGTTGAGCTGTACTAAGGCCTCCTATAAGTCAGATCATTAGCGCAATAATGAGTTCTCCATGGTACTGTATGTAATGAAAAGCACTGAAGTGCAAACCCTCGGCGTACTGTGACGCGCACGCGTAAGTAAACGCATGCGCCGTACTACTAATTGCTGGGCTGGGTTTAGTTTTAGCTGTTACCCGTGGTCTCTTGCCAGCTCGCGCAGAGTCTGACGCGGGCTAACTACACTACTAGATAGCATGCGAGAGGCGATACACGCCCTGCGTTGTATCTTCTGGTGCCTCCGAGGTACGCAGAGCACGCGGATCGATCATGTCGTAGTAAGCCGTTGTGTATTTGCATATTGGCTTTTTCGCGCTCTAGCTTTGCAACGGAGCGTTTTCAGCGAAAACCACACATATTTTCTGACCTTCATTGCCAGTTCAGTAGGTGGTATCCTTTGTGAGACGAACGAACACTCGAGAAGTGAGATGACGAGTAACAGACAGACACACACACACACAGACAGACAGACCCAACTACCGTAACCCTCGCTGCGCATGCGCGCCGAGGGTTAATTATATGACATTGAAGCCTTTACTGGAGAGGTCTCCCATTCAAGGCCAATGATGACACCCCTAACTGCAACATACATACTCGGCTCTCATTAGGAGCAAAGACTCGGGACTTTTGGTACCCTATTTCCAAATGTGTCAGCATTACTAGGCAGACCATGCAAGCATTGCTCAATGTGTTATTTGTGCGGCTCAAAGAATAACACACACCTGCCCACTTACGTATGAGCGTGTAGAGCACATGGTGTGTTGCTGTTGCTCCAAGTCAGACGGTCATTCTCTCCTTCTCCAGTGGTTAAAAAATAGATTCTATTGTTGCTTGTAAAATTCCCTGAATGCGTGGGAAACTCATGTTTATCTTTATGTCTAACTGTGGTATAAGTGTATTATAAACCCTCTATGAACACCCTCCCTAACACTCACTTCCTCCCACCACCAGCAGGCTACTGCTTCTTTGTGTGTAACTGTGGTATATGTACATACATATCTCTATTATAACCCTCTATGAACACCCTCCCTAACACTCACTTCCTCCCACCACCAGCAGGCTACTGCTTCTTTGTGTGTAACTGTGGTATATGTACATACATATCTCTATTATAACCCTCTATGAACACCCTCCCTAACACTCACTTCCTCCCACCACCAGCAGGCTACTGCTTCTTTGTGTGTAACTGTGGTATATGTACATACATATCTCTATTATAACCCTCTATGAACACCCTCCCTAACACTCACTTCCTCCCACCACCAGCAGGCTACTGCTTCTTTGTGTGTAACTGTGGTATATGTACATACATATCTCTATTATAACCCTCTATGAACACCCTCCCTAACACTCACTCCTCCCACCACCAGACCGCTACGACAGTGGTGGTACAGCAGCAGCCTGTGATCCAGCAGTCAGTGGTGTTCCGTGACCGTCCCGTGTTGGTCACCGACAGCAACGGACAGCAGGTATCACTATCATGTGTGTAGCTAAAACGATTTCCTTCAAGCCTTCCCTCCTTAAAGAAAACTGTTGTTAAAGGTTCCCTTAAATGCCGTGTATTTTTATTACTTGTGCAGAAATAGACATATTATTGTGTAAGGCTTCATTATACAACAAATTAGAAGCCCTGAAGAGAAATGTGAAATAATTAAGTCAAATGTGCTTGTGTGAACCAGCTTACTGCGTGGGGCATGCTAAATATGTTGGCTTTAACTTGAGGGAGACTTCCACCATATAGCCACAGGTTGGTGATAAGTGTGGAGCCAATAAGCCACACTAAGCCACACTTTTAATTCTGTGGAGACCTTAGAACTGCTGGTGGTTTAGTGACATGTGGTGCCATATGCTACAGTTATGACTGCCATTAGTTACACATTGTCACACTTCCTCTAGGACATTCATATTTAGGCCAAGACAAAACATAGTGTAGTAGTTGTGCTTCTATACCATGAGTGATTAACCCTCGGTGCGCATGCCCAGCGAGGGTTACGGTACTTGGGTCTGTCTGTGTGTGTGTCTGTCTGCTACTCGTCATCTCACTTCTCGAGTGTTCTTTCGTCTCACAAAGGATACCACTTACTGAACGGGCAATGAAGGTCAGAAGTTTCGAACGGTTTTCTCTGAAAACGCTCCGTTGCAAAGCTAGAGCGAGAAAAGGCCAATATGCAAAAATACACAACGTCTTACTACGGCATGACCGATTTGCGTGCTCTGCGTATATACCTCGGAGGCACCAGAAGATGCAATGCAGGGCGTGTATCGCCTCTCGCATGCTATCTAGTAGTGTAGTTAGCCCGCGTCAGACTTTGAGCGAGCTGGCAAGAGACCACGAGTAACAGCTAAAACTAAACCCAGCCCATCAATTAGTGGTACGGCGCATGCAATTACTTACGTGTGCGCGTCACAGTGTGCCGAGGGTTTGCACTTCAGTGCTTTTGATTCTAAAGGCTTGTAAAGACTTCCGGTATATACTCCATGTTTCATATGCACTTGGACGTTATTGATTATGACACACACACGCACACACACATGCACAGGTGACAACTCAACTACAGTTCAAGTCTGGGGCACTCACCTGGCTCATCTGCTGCGCCATCTGCTGGCTGACTGGGTTCTGGTGTCTTGCTCTCATCCCGTTCTGCATCGACGACACCAAAGATGTCTACCACATCACCCCCACTGATGGGAGAGTGGTCGGAGTTTACAAGAGGCTCTAATCCCCTCCTAATGCTTTATACTGAGACTATATAGACCAAACATTGTATTTTATGGTATAGGGTTTTTGCATCACTTTGGGCTGAATGTGGGCCCTTGATAGCATATTGTTATGATAACCAAGGCAGCTTGCAGTATAAAGTGCCAGAATACGACAGCTTCGTGCGTAGTGCAGGAGACAAGAAGGCAACCTACAGAGCACCAGGGATCAGCTTTGTTGCTGATCACACTGCATGTGTGTTCTGCCGTATCAGTCGGCTGTGAGCTCCACCATGATTACAGAGGGGAGGTGAATGAGTGCACTAGCTCTGTGTAGAATAATGAAACCCGCCCATTTAATTAATAGTAAGCCGCGATTGAGCATGCGCAAAACCAAAGGGCGCGGTGAGCGCGACGCGACACGAGATCGAGATTGAGCGACGATCGCCGACGATGACTGATCAACCAGTGAGCCCAGTTGTTTCTCCTACATTATGAGACTTGATATCCCTCCAATATTGTATTGTAGCCACCTTATTATGCGGAGAAAACTGGCCCCTACCCGCCCCAGCCTCAGGCTGCCTACCCTCCTCCACAACAGGTCAAGTCAAGTCCGTCGTATTTCGTAATCAGCTGTCGCAAAACTGCTGGCGTGGGCCATGGCACTGTAACCTCTTGTGACACTACAGTTCCGTCGGGGAGCGTTTTGCCTTTTCTCTAGACGATTGCATGGCTCAGCAATTTTGTGAACAATGTAGATTGTTAGTCACTCATGACTTGTCACACGATGAACGAGACTAACCTATATATGTACGATGCATACGCACCAGGGCCAAGAAGATGGCAAACCCACGCAGATACATAAGCTGTGTGTAGGAGTATTTGTAGTACTATGAACTGTCTGCCAGCTCAGCGGCAATCAGTGCAACTGCTAGCACTCATATTCGCTGGAATTCATCCTAGTTACATATATACCCAATGGGAATTCCACAGGCAAAACATTTCCTTATTTGGTTACCTCAGTGTTGAATTAAGCTGGCATGCAATTTATCTGGCAAAACCGTCACTCTCTTTCTCTTGCTGGACTATTGCCTCACACAAGTCTGTATGAAAAAATTAGTACATAATGTAACCCTCTGTGGTAGCTATGTACATAGAGAGTGATAGTTGTTCCCAATTAATGTTGGGGTATATACCAGCCTTTCTGAAGAGTTTTGGATAAGCAGCTAGCTACAATCATTTAACGGAGAAATAGTCAGTAATAAATTTAGTATGTCAGTCTCTCACTTTATCTCCCTATGTACGTGTGTATTACTCCTGCCGCTCAGACTGTTGTAGTGACCCAGCCTGTGTTTACTGCACAGCCAGTGGTGTTCCGCGACCAGCCTGTTGTCGTTACTGACAGCAACGGACAACAGGTACAGCTGTATAGTTGCTTCCATGTGCTCCTACACAATTTACACACACACATACATCACTGTAGCAAATAGAGCACCAGTTACAGAACAAAATGCACTAGGTTTTGGTCTATAGCGTGTATATACATCGTGTAAAAGGTAATTAACCCTCGGCGCGCATGCTCAGCGAGCGTTTGTCTGTCGGTCTATCCGTCTGTTACCACGTTTTCTGCCACCAGGTACAACAAACAGGTAAAATAGCGACACCAACGGGTTCAGCGCTACACTGGCTTCATTGTTTAAAATGGCGATTTTCGTAAAAGTGCCGCGTTCAGAAGTTATGGCGTGAAAACCAAGTTAACTAGCCAATAATGCGAATTAGCAGAGGCTTACCTCTGGACCGCTTGTTCTGTGGATGTTGAAGTCACAATAAGTCGCAACAAACAACGTGTATCGACTCCCGCATTCTATCTACTATTGTAGCTAGCCCGTGTCAGACTCTCCGTGAGCTACTAGCAGGAGACCGCGAGTAAATGCATACTATTGTAACCCAACCCATCAATTAACGGTACCGCGCATGCGCAGTTCGCCGCTCCTACAGTATGTGTGTGTAACCATTGATGTTGGTGAACTCACTCACACCACCTCCCACACAGGTCACAACACAGCTGGAGTACCGCTCAGGTCTTCTCACCTGGCTCATATGCTGTTTCATCTGCTGGATCACCGGCCTGTGGTGCATTGCACCAATCGCTTTCTGCATCGACGCTACCAAAGATGTGTACCACATCACCCCAACTGACGG